ATTCTACCAGTACTCTAGAAAAGAGTCAAAGGTTTTTTATTCACCCTTTCCTATCTGCAAACTCAACAACTGCAGTTCTCTTACAGGTGATACTTTGAGCCTTATAGGATCTTTAATGGTCATTTTCCTAATCTGTTCAACTCAATGAGGTACTGACTGCTCCAATATGTATTTAACATTAGAATAGCTAATGTATAGTCTACGGTCCCTAAGTTCTTTGTTGTCCTTCCTCAAGTAAGTTTTTTAGAAATAAAAACTACACGTAAGCCGGGCGGTGGTGGCTCACACCTTTAATCCCAGCACTTGGGAGGCAGAGGCAGGCAGATCTCTGTGAGTTCGAGGCCAGGCTGGACTGATAGCCTCCAAAACAATACAGAGAAACCCTGTCTCGTAAAACCAAAACAAACAAACAAACAAACAAAAACTACACTTAATAATATTCAATACCAAGAATTTGTAAAATGTCTGGAATACAGAAAGGACTCAAATATTTGTTGGCAGAAGAGATGGCTCAGCTTGTGGCCAAACATGATGACCCAAGTTCTATCACTGGGGCCCATATTGTGAAAGGAGAGTCCTCTGATCTCCACCCATGCATGATACGGCATGCATACACATATACATAATATAAATAAATAAATGTAATGAAAACAAAACAAAAAGGTATGTTGTGGTTCTAATCTCTATAACATACGACTGTGAAGTTTATACCAACTGTCAGCTTGACAGGACCTAGAAATATCTTAGTGTCTTCCCAGGCTTGTGAAAATGTAAACTAATTTGAGAAGAAAAGTGAAGGTATTTGCTCCTTGAATGTAATTGCTTAGAATAGTGTTTCTTCAAGGTCAGCAGAGAGAAGCTGGCACAAGAGAAGCTGGCACAACTATGGCCTAAAGGGCCTAGGCTCCATACTGAGCTGGCACCAAAACCTAATAGCAGCATAGTCCATGTTAATAATGGTTTTGCTAGCCATGAAAGATACAAGACTGAATTGAGGTTTAAACAACCTTTCCAGAGAGCTGATGAGGCTAGTCAATGTATGACAGGGTCTGAATTCCTACAAAGGGACCCTGAAAGGTTACTGCATGATGCTGTGAAAGTGAAAGCTAACTCTAGTTCCAGGAATCTTAACACCCTCTTCTACTCTCTGTGGATACTACAAATGCATGTGCACGTACATACATGCAGGCAAAATAAAAAAAAGTACAATAAAAAAAAAACCCTATTCCTTGTCTCATCATTTCCTTGCTTAGGGAAAAAAATACTGGTCCTGAAAGACTGGATTACAATGCCATAATCTTTCTTTAAATGAGAAATTATGCAGTGGCTCCCCCTACAATCCCTTGCTAAAATAAAATGTAATAAACATTTTGTGTGCAAGCTTGTTTGTGTATACACAAGCAGCATAACATGTTCATAGAGGTCAGGATAAGTTGGTTCTCATTCTACCAAAGGAGTTTTCAGGACATGAACGCAGATCCTCAGGCTTGTTGGCAGGTACCTTTATCTGCTAAGCAAGGCCCCAGCTCCCCAGTTTTGATAGTGTAAGGAGCTTGAGTCTTGTTAAAAGTTGGGCTTTTAAACAACATTTGAACTGTTAAAAGACTAGAGGCTTTTGAAATTGGACTGAGTGAATTTTGGATTATAGTATGGCCATGAACATATGCGAACAAGGGAAAAGACTTGTGCTGGTATACAGCAGATTTTCCTATACTATCCAGGGGTGTAAACTCTGTTCCCATAGATTTTGTTTACTTTCCTGGAAGAAATGCCTCTGCCTGCAGCAGGCAAAAAATGCCCTCCCTATCCTGGGAAATGGAGCTTAGGACAATTGCCACAAGCAAAACAATGAAGTAATTAAGGGACCAGGGATATACATTACTTTCTAATTTGCTTGCTTAGTGGGCATAAAGACTTAGATTCAATCCTCAATACTGCATAAACTGGGTATGGTGGTATATGATTCTTGCATAACTGTGGCACTCAGGAGGTGGAGGCAGGAGGATCATCAAGGTTATCATCCAGATATTTTGCTCTTTTGTCTAGGTGAGCTCTGGAATCTGGCTACCTCTACCTCTTGCAGTGAGAATGGTTTTACCCATTTAGTCATCTCACCAGCCCCTTTTATTTTTAAATTCCTATTATCTTTTAAACAATTTTCCTTATTTTGTAACTGAATATTTTATTTCTTGTTCTTTCCTCACACTGTTCCTGCATTCTCTCATTAATTTTACTTTTCATTTTCAATTTTATGATCAATCTTTACATTTTTCATAATTTTTATGATTATTGGTGGCACACAGCAGTTTTGGGTTTATTTTCTTTTTATTGTATTTATACTTACTAATTTTTTGGCATTTGTGTTATGGCAGTTTAATTTCTCTTTTCTGAAAGGCAGTTATTGGGAGTAAGCCTTTAGGAGAGGGCTGCTAAAAAAATGAGATAACCATCCTAGTAAATACAAAATATCACATTGAAATAAAATATGAAAGATCAAAGCAACAGGAAATGGTTGAAATTCTAGACAAAACTTTAAAGTCTAGTTTTGATTTGAAAAAGATCTCAAACATGATTTAAATAAAAAATAAAGTAAGTCAATTCAAGACTTGGAAAAATTCATCAACTTTGGACTATAAACTAAGCAAAAAATGTGTGGGAAACAAAAACAAAACCTACCAGATGTTTTGAAAATGAACAGCTCAAAAAATCCAGTTAAAAAAAAAAAAGAAAATCAATCACTTGGCAGTGGTGGTGTACACCTTTGATCCTAACGCTCTGGAGGAAGAAGCAGGTGGATCTCTGTAATTTAAGGACAGCCTGGTCTACAGAGAGGTTCCAGGACAGGCATGATTACACAGAGAAGCACTGTCTCGGAAAAAAGAAACCAACGGAAAAGCCAGCAAGTTGGCTCAGTGGATGAAAGGTGCCTTAGGCTGAGTCTGAGAACATGAGTTTAAATCCCTGGAACCCATGGAATAGGAAAGAAGCTACTTGTACAAGCTGTCTTCTGAGCTCATCTGTTCTGTGAAATACACCTGTTTGAGTCTAGACACACACATATGCACATAAGTAAATATACAAAAATTAATAAAAAAATAGTAACTCAATAAAAACAAAAACTAAACTGGTAGAAGAAAGAATATTAGTGATTAAAGACAAGATTAAAGAATTATTACATTCAGACAGCAATAAAGAAAAAATCCTATGACTACAAGATTCAAGATGTGTAGTACAGGATTAAGAGAAAAAACTAACAAATCTGAGAGAACTGAGATACAGATTAAAGTCATGGTAAATGCCTTAAGTTACTTTTCTACTGCTGTGATAAAACACCATAACCAAGATAACCTAGAGAAGGGTTTATTTGGAATGTACAGTTTCCACAGAGATAGGAGTTCATCACCATCATCATGGTGGGAACATCCAAGCAAGCAGGCATGGTCCTGGGACAGCAGCTGAGAGGTCACATTCAGATTCACAAACAGGAATCAGAAAGAGCACTCAGGGAATGGCACAAGTTTTTAAAACCTCAAGTTTGTTCAAAATGACATGCCTACTTCAACAAGGCCAGCTACACCTTCAATTCCTCCTAAACAGCTCCACCAAGTGGTGACCATTCTCATTTCAACCACCAGAGTGAACTTACTCAATAAAATTGCTCCTAGATCTAGTGAGAAGGATGGACATTCATGTAGAATCTCAAATAGACATTACCAGAAAAGGCCCTCAACATATTTTATTAAACTATCAAGAATTTAAAAGAAGAGCTGGAAAGATGGCTCAGTGGTTTAAGAGCACTGGCTGTTCTCCTGCTCTTCCAGAAGTTCCAGGCTCAATTCCCAGCACCCACACAGCAGCTCACAATTGTCTCTAATTCCAGTTCCAAGAGATCTGAACCCTCTGCTGGCCTCAGGGATCTGTACACATGTGGTACACATATATATGCAAGCAAAAGATCCATACATATACAAATATTTTAAAACAATTTTTAAAGAGTTTAGAACAAAAGATATTTGAAAGTTTCAAGGGAGGGAGTACCGGTTATTTAGAAAGGCAAACCTATCAGAACATTTTTGGACTGCTCACCAGAAACCATAGAAGCCAAGAGAGCATGGACTGATGTTTAAATATTTGCCAGTCAAGAGTACTACATCCAGCAAAGTTATCTTTTTAAACTATACCTAGTGGTCCTTTCTGAGAGAGAGAGAGAGAGAGAGAGAGAGAGAGAGAGAGAGAGAGAGAGAGAGAGAGAGAGAGAGGGAGGGAGGGAGGGAGGGAGGGAGGGAGGGAGGGAGGGAGGGAGGGAGGGAGGGAGGGAGGGAGGGAGGGAGGGAGGGAGGGAGGGACGGAGGGAGGGACGGAGGGAGGGACGGAGGGAGGGAGGGAGGGAGGCAGGGGGAGGGAGGGGGAGAGAGAGGGAGAGAGAGGGAGAGAGAGGGAGAGAGAGGGAGAGAGAGGGAGAGCATACAGCAATAGCTACAACAGGAAAGTGAACCTGCTACTTTGTCTCCTGAACCCATCACAATATCTAACATTCTCTCAGAAAGAAAGAAAAAACTAAAACCAAAATACCCCTTCCTCTTTATGCCCAAAATCTTGGATACTCTGTATCAATTATCTATCATAGTCTCACTGTCATAACATTAACCTTATCTTCTTCTTGATGCTTTCAGAAGTCTACAATTGAAACCACCTTTAAAGCCATAATAGCAATAGAAAGCTATTTATCATAATTAAGAATTCAGATGAACTATTAAGAGATACTAGAATATGATTTCAAATAAATTACACCTCATGATAAAGGTTTAAATGATTGCAAGGTAATGGGAAGAAGCTGATAGTGTATCTTTGCTCTCACTGTACACTGTCATCTAACTCAGCAAATTTCCATCCTAACAGCTTAGGCTCTCTAGTAGTGACCCCTTTTGCACAGGTGGATGCTATCCAGCTTGATTTATTAGATATGATGTAAAGTTACCAACAACTAGGCAAGGACTTACACTGGTTACTCGACGGTAGATCTGCGCAGCATTTTGGCACTCTGAGTATGGATATTCAGATGTAGCCATCTCAAGCATGCACATCCCAAAAGCATAAACATCAACGGATTCGTCATATTTCTCCTCATACATCTCAGGAGCCATGAACTCTGGAGTACCTTAAATTAAAACAATGATTTAGATTCAACTGGGCAGTAGCTGTAGGTGTTACCTACCAGAGGTTTCAAGAAGCAAAGAGGTTGATCTGCCAGAGGGAGGAAAAGAAAAAGAAAGGGGATGAAAAAGAAAAGGGGAAAAGAGAATGAAAATCTTCTTAGTCTGTTCCATCAAATATCCTATAGAAGATCTTCCACTGTTAAGGTTTTTCAAACATGCACAATGATCAGGTACATGATTACTTATACAACTGAAATTATGTTCCCACTATTAACATAGAATTTTGGCTAAGAGATACATTAGTATTATCCATAATGAAAACAAATAGAAGGAAAGGTAATAAAAGGAAAAAACCTAGCCTAGAACAAAATGAATACCGTAAGAAAGTAACAATGAAAAGATCAAATACTTGTCTGCCAATGAGTATTTACAACTAGCCTCTTGCTATTGATATTTTATTTTTTAAGGAAGTCTTACAGGAAAAAAACAAAAAGTCCTATATTTAGTATGTTTTTAAAGGCAATAAAATTAATTATCTGCAAAGGTCACTCACTAGAGCCTTTTTGTCACATACCTACAGTGTACAAATAAGCCTAATATAGATACAGGTGAAAAACAAATGTACATACATATACAAATATAGTGAATACGGTATGTATGTGTATGGTCCTACAAGATTAGATTTTATAAAGATATCAGAATCTTTAGTTAATTTTGGTCTCCTTATAGCAAGGTCTGGAGACAATTTAGGTTGTAACAAATAGGAGTAAACAGACAAGGTATGCTACAAATATTTGTGGTGGAATCCAGGTATGCTGTGAACTAATTCTATAGTATACAAGAAAACTCTATACAATAATTGTCTAGACACAGCTATCCAGTGTACTAAGGCTGAGAAACCTGATTCTGATATATCATTCATTCTAAACGGTTAGAGTAAAGGAAAGTTAATGAGAGCAGCTTTCCACAGTACACTCCAATACATTCCTAGTATCAAATCAAGTTTTTACAGCCACACATTCTTGAAGATATAGACAACATTTCTGAAACTAAACTACATATAAATCCCATTTATTTTATGAAAAAAGCAACACATTGCTTCTACTGTATCAATATAAGACACTGAGTATTAACAGAATGACTCAAAACTGTAACAGGTTGTATGTATCAATGAAGCTCACCTTACTTCTCTCTATGTAACTTTATAAAACATCAATAGTCTTCAAAATGATTTTAGAAGCTTAAATATTAAAAATCCTTCATTTCATATTTAAGTAGACTTGATCACTAGGTTCATGATATGATTTCTGAAGGTTTATTTGGTGTCAGAAAAGATATGATAGGGTCAGATTTCTAAAGAAAAGCTAGGTCAAAAGACTAGACTAGCTCCAAAGCACACTGGAAACATACCTATCACACTCTTGGCAAAAGAAGCCCGCTTTAGAGTTGCCAGACCAAGGTCTCCAATCTTGACTGAGCCTGTAGGGCCAGTGATAAAGATGTTGTCACATTTAAGGTCCCGGTGAATAATTGGTGGAGTTCGTGTGTGGAGAAACTGAAGTCCTTTAAGGATTTGCCGACACCAGCTTCTCAGAACTTTGATTTTCATCACTTTAAACCTTTTTAAGTACCTGGAAAAGGCAAGTAAACCAAACAGGTTATCAATGATACATGAGTTTTCTGCTTTGAAGAATTCCATTAAATCCTAACACGCCAAAAATAGGAATATCAAATTTATAATATTGAGACTCGGTAACTTTAAGGGTTAGTAATACTTTTAGTAAGTTAAAGGGGCTAAGATAAGTTTAAAATAAAATTCTACTGAAAGACAAGAAATAGTCCTTGAAATATTTTTCTAGTTGAGTAATGAACTTTTCTTATTTTTATGTATGAATACATGTATTTGTGCATGTAGGGCGGGAGACTGTGCAGTGTAGAAGTCAAAAGAGACAGCTGAGTCCCTTGGAGCTGGAGTTACAGGTGTTTATTATATCAGTTGCCTGGCTTGTTACTTGGATGCTGGGATATGAGCTCTCATCTTCAAGACTGTGCAGCAAGTGATCATTTATCTGGCTAGTAGTTTGTTTTAAAAGGATCTATGTAACCCAGGCTAGCCTCAAACTTGTAATTCTTCTGCCTCTGCATCCTTCTTTCTTTCTTTTCTTTATTTTTTTTTTTTTTGAGAACAGGTCTCATGTAACCCAGGAGGGCAACAAACTTTTTATATAACTAAGGATGATCTTGAACTCCTGTTCCTTCTACCTCTGTCTCTCAAAGTTAGAACCACCATTCCCAGTTTTGCAGTTCTAGGGATAGAATCCAGGCCTATGTGTATACTAGGCAAACAATTTATCAACTCTCCAGTTCTCAGAGAAACTATTTAATTAGCAATTGGTAAGAAAATTGCTGTAACAGCAAAAAAGTATACTTTAAACTAGTTTGCTATTGACATAACTAAATGAATTCTGCTTTTAATGGAGTGGCTTCTGCTGGTTTAAAAAAAAAAGCAAAATGGGCTGACAAGATGGCTTACTAGGTAAAAAAGAACAGACCAACTCCTAAGTCATGTACCACATAAGTGTTGTCCACATACATATGCCCAAACACAAAAGTAAATAAACAAATAAATGTAATTTATTATTTTTAAATTAAAAAACAAAAACAAATCACTGACTGAAAGGAGAAGAACAAAACAAAATCAGTCAAAGTGATTTCACACGAGAAAAATGTAAAGCAATGTGTAAGCAGTCTCTCCCTATGTATGTGTGTGCACAAGCATGTACATGTGGAAAGAAAGGTCAACTTTGAATACCCTTCCATATATCTTGTATTTTAAGCCAGAGTCTTATACTGACTTAGAACTCATCGAGTAGGCCAAACAAACTGGCAAGGAAGCTTCAGGGACCCATCTGATTCTATTACTGCAGTGTTGCGCTCATAAGCAGATTAATTATGCCTTGCATTTTTTATGTGGGCTTTATGAAGACTGAACTCTTTCTAATCTAAATTTAAACTAAAAAAAAAAAAAGACTGAACTCAGATCTTCATGCTTTCCTGTCTGATGACAATCCCCATGATTCACATAGTATAAAGAGATAATGGATTCCCATTAAGTGTTCTTTGACCTCCATATGCATGCTATGACATGTGTATGTATACATACACATAAGGAAAACTGTAATAATTTTTTAAAAGGTCTTATGTGGTAAATGGAACTAATTTTGGACATGGTGCAAAAAAGAACAGTTCTATGACTGCAGTACAATGGTGGTAAGGAAAGGAAAGGTGGGGCTGGAGAGATACTTCAGTGGTTAAGAACACTTGCTGCTCTTCCAAAAGACTTAAGTTTAGTTCCTAGCATCCATGCCAGGCAGCTCCTAACTGCATTTAACTACAGCTCCAAGGAATCTAACACCTTGCCCTAGCTTCTGTGAGTACCTACATATGGGTGGTGTGCACATACATGCATGCACACACAGAAAGACACACAAACTAAACTTTTTTTTTCCTTTTTTGAAGATGGAAAAGGAGAGGGGCAGATAATTTGGTGCATGAACCTAAAGATTTAAGTTTGATTTCTGGAATTCATAGTGGAAGGAAAGCAGTACATCCTAGATTTAGTCTTCTGACCTCTGACCTCTACACTTGTGCCATGGCACGAGTCTGAACTAATGCACACATCATTCTCATTCATATTGTAAGTCATTCTCATATTCTCTCCTCTTCCCCACCCCAATAATAAAATACACTTTAAAAGGAGACCAGCTCAACAAGAGGGAAATCATGCCATCAGGCTTAGTACTAGAAACCTAGCCAACTACCTAGGATGAAAGAAAATGTAGATCTTGGAGGAAAGTCTATAACCTCTACTCTTTACTAAAACAACATAATCCCTAACAACATTCTAAATTTCTGTTCTTATACCTACAGAAGTGTAATTCTTATCCCTCAGTAAGGAAAGTTCTCTTTTAGATGGAGATCATTCTAGCAAACAGAACAGAATGCAGAGTTGTGGCACCAGACATAACCGATCAATATTCACAACACAACTGCAGCACCTAAGGCTCAAGGTCATTGTGGAAGAGGGGGCAGAAAGACTGTAAGAGCCAAGGAACAGAGTCTGTGTGTTTTCTATAAATGTCAGAAGCTATACAGTCTCTCTAACGTGCCTGCTTACACATGACCTGAACAAAAACATCAATAGACATGCTAACATTGAAAGGAGAAAGTCTCAACCCTAAACAAAGACCTATAATTAAGGAATGCTGAGTGGAAAAATTAGTCTTTTCCTGGGAGTAAAAAGTTATCAAATACAAAATGGCCAGCCCTGAAAACATACACAGAAAGTAACATTATATATACTGAGTAGGTACTTTTATACCTATGTATGTACACACACACACACACACACACACACACACACACACACACACACCAACAACAGCAACTGAAGAGGAGGAGGCCATGAATTTGAAGGAGAACCATGGGGAGCAGGTACCATGGAAGGGCTTAGAGTGAGGAAATGGAGTTATAATCTCAAAAATAAAAATATTTAAGAAGGCAAGGAAAAACAGGGCAATGGTGGCTCATGCCTTTAATCCCAGTAGTCTGGATGCAGAAGGAGGCTGATGTGAGTTTTAGGACAGCCTCGTCTACAGAGAAAAACTCTGTTTTGAAAAACCAAAATTAAAAAAGAGGAGAAGGAAGGAGGACTGGGATGGGGGGGGGGAGGAGTCCAGAAACTAGCCACAGTGGGAGAGTCCTCAATTCTGTATATTTTCTATCCAAATCTGCACTCGACTGATGAAATATGTACATAAGCAACAGAATACACTAAAGGGAAGACTATGGCACAAGAGTCTCTGATGTCTATCACTACATAGAAGCTACTGCTTGGAAAATGCATTATGATGTACATTTTATTTATTCACATGCAGGGTAAGTAGAGGAAAGCATCTACTAAAATTTTTATATTAGTACCTTTAAAGTACATGCAACCAGTAGGGGGAAATTTTGTATTTTGTGAAGGCCTATGAAATATATATGTATCAAATATTAAAAAAAAAATCACAGCATAGGAACAAGTATTAGCTAGGAAATGTGTGTTTTACATGAAAGTATACAATATTAGCACCAAATTTGTGAAGAGGTAAGGATATAAATAAAATTTCTACAGTAATCATTTCTTTAAAAATCCTACACATGGAGCCGGGCGTTGGTGGCACACGCCTTTAATCCCAGCACTTGGGAGGCAGAGGCAGGCGGATCTCTGTGAGTTGGAAGCCAGCCTGGTCTACAGAGCTAGTTCCAGGACAGTCTCCAAAGCTACACAGAGAAACCATGTCTCGAAAAACAAACAAACAAACAAAAAAACCACATGGGCTGGAGAGACAGTTCAGTGATTAGGAGCACTGGCTGCTCCTCAGAGGTCCTGAGTTCAATTCCCAGCAAACCACATGGTAACTCACAACCATCCATAATGAGATACGGTGCCCTCTTCTGACATACAGTTATAGAGCATGTAGATAGAACACTCATACATAAAAATAAACGTTAAAAAAAGTTTTACACACTAGATCTAGATCTATCAGAAAAAAAACGAAGAGTAGAACTAAAATAAACCTCTACATTAGGATGTAGCAATTAAATAAACCTATTAGCAAAAGCAAGTTTGTTTTTTGTTTTTTTGTTTTTGTTTTTGTTTTTGTTTTGTTTTGTTTTGTTTTTTTTTGGTTTTACGAGACAGGGTTTCTCTGTATTGTTCTGGAGGTTGTCGGTCCAGCCTGGCCTCGAACTCACAGAGATCTGCCTGCCTCTGCCTCCCGAGTGCTGGGATTAAAGGTGTGTGCCACCACCGCCCGGCAAGTTGTTCATTTTTTTATGTGTATTGGTGTTATGACTACTGTATTTCTATGCATCAAGTGTATGCCTGGTGTCCACACTGGCCACAAGAGGGTGTCTGATCCTCTGAAGACTAGACACTGGTGAGCTGAGCCATCATGTGCCGCTCGGAAGAGAACACAATGCTCTTAACTGTTGAGCCATCTCTAAATACTTTCAATCCTTAAAACCTGCTTTTTGGAGTAGGGAATGGTGGTGTATACTTTAATCCCATGTCAGGTGGCTCACAACCACCCATAACTCCAGTTTCAGGGGATCAGATACTTCATTTGGCCTTGGTAGCATACATACACAAACCCACACACATGTAATTTTTAAAAAATATTAAAAAATAAAAATTTAAACAAAAATTAATTTTTCCCATGACAAACTTATACCATGTGCTTTACAACAGCTTCCTTTCTCAATATAATAAACAGATGTTATTGACAAACCTGTGATTTCAAAAGCATACCCCATTTTTTCATCCAAAGCTCTTGGTACTTCTATGTTACCTAACCTATTTCTCTCAAGAGGATAACATTACCTATTCAGGAATCTTTAGGCACTTTCTCATTTGTAGCTTCTCCAACACTACAATTAAGGTTTCACTGTTAATCTTTTTGGGCTTGCATATATAACTTTACAGGACACTACATTTTTTGTTTTGTTTTGTTTTAATTAGACAGGATCTCTCTACATCATCTAGCTATTTTGATTTTAATCTTTAGTACTATGAGAAATAAGACTATAGCTAGTTGTATACATAGTGAAAAATAAAATGTGATCAAATAAATATTTAATATAGTTTAATCTCACTTTAACCACTAGAGGGCAACCTTGTCATTGATTTATAATTCCTAAACCTCAATTTTAAAAATACCAATCAATATAACTTAAAATTAACTAGGTTTATTCAGCAACATCCTCATTCCAATAGTTGCCAATAAGTAACCACCATATCATTTTTATAAGACGATTCTGCAAGTAGGAAACACATGGTATTGTGAAGGTTGAAAGGATTATGTCTGCCTTAGAAGGCCAAACAACAAACATAGATCTAAAACAAGATTATCTGGAAATTCTTGCTCATCTTTTTAAAATACTGGTAGACTTACGTTTTAAGTGTTCCAGATGTCATTAGTTCAGTCACTAAAACAATGCATTTTTTCCCTTTTACTGTGGATTCCCAAGAGTCATAGAAGCGAACAATGTTGGGATGTTGAAGACCTTTTAACATTTCTGCCTCTTCTTTGAATCTCTGCCTTTCGGACTTTGTTAACTTTCGATCCTAAAACGAAAAAAACAAAACAATGTGATTTAAAATGATAAAGCACAAGTCACACAGCTATACTAAGATGCTAAATAAGCTGGGAATGATGGTACACAGCTGCAATCTCAGCACTCAGCAGCAGGATGGCAAGTTCAAAAACCTGTCTAAAAAAATAAATAAAACATACCAATAACACATTAATTAATGATAAATAGCATTAAAATTAAATGGAAACACTAATAACAGTCATTTTCATGCCCTAAGGGTCTGAGAAAAGACTACTGCATACTTAAGGATTATAAAGTGATGCTTGATATTACTTATCATTAGTGTCAACGTATGTCTAAAATACAAATTGATTTGCTACTTCCCAAATCAGTCAGTGATTGTTAGAAATAGGCAATTAATGTCACGGAATGGTCATGGGTTTTTTTGAAGGCAAAAAGATTAAATAATGAATATAGTTCTATCTTTGCATTAATTAGAACTTTCTTTATGACTATACTACATCACCCAACAAAACTTATCAGAATCAAGCGAGCTAGTGAGCATCTTTCATCAAGTGTTTAAAGTTCTTGGTGCCTTTATAGGAACTAATTTACTTCCTATCTGAGATGAAGAATGGGAAAAGCATTCAATTTGTTTTTATAGCTTAACGTAAGGTTCAGATACACGATGTGTTGTTTTGTTTATTAAAATGGAAACTATCTCTAGCCACTCACTCTCAGAACAGATACTTTAATGAAGTACTCCCAGCAAAACTAAAATATGATTATTTTGCAAAACTAAGTAATTTAATATTATATACCTAATTTATAAAGTCCTCTGTGTAACAAGTGACCCCTCCTTTCTACTACTTACCCTTGAATAAACATTATCCTGAACTTAGATATGTAAGAATCATATGATTTTTACATTCTGTAAAAATTTTTTGAACATACTACAACATAATTACCTATTCAGGAATCTTTAGGCACTTTCTCATTTGTAGCTTCTCCAACACTACAATTAAGGTTTCACTGTTAATCTTCTTGGGCTTGCACATATAACTTTACAGGACACTACATTTTTTGTTTTGTTTTGTTTTAATTAGACAGGATCTCTCTACATCATCTAGCTGCTCTGGAACTAACAAGTCTGGCCATTGAATTTACACCTGCCTCTGCCTCCTGAGTGCTAGGATTAATGGCATGGGCCACAAAGCCCAGCAGGGTACTGTTTCTTGTAGGACTCACAAACTTCTTTTAAGATTTATATAAACTTCCAGGACTGGAGAGATGGCTCAATATTTAAAGAGCAGTTAGCTCATGAGTTAAGAGCAATTGTTGGTCTTTCAGAGGACCCAGGTTCAGTTTCCAACATCAGCATGACAGAGCACAAACATCCATGATTCCAATACCAGAGAATCTAACACACCTTTTTCTGACCTCCTCTGGCACAAAGCATGTATATGATGTACATACATACATGCAGACAAAACACTCACATGCATTTTTTAAAAACTAAAATCTTTCTAAATATTTGTAAATTTGCACAAGAAATAAATGTTAATTTTCATTAACTTCAAATTTTACATTTTTTTTTGATTGTTGTTGTTTTGGTTTTTGAGATAAGGTTTCTCTGTGTAGCCCTAGCTATCCTGGAACTTGGTCTGTAGACCAGACTGGCCTGGAACTCAGAGAGCGGCCCACCTCTGCCTCTGGAATTAAAGGCATGGGCTACCACTGCAAGTTTAAAATTTACTATTTTTTTTTTAATGAGTGTAAGCATCTAACAGTATTTTGCATTACCTGCAATTTTTATCACTGACAGACTTAATCAAATAACAAACGATTATAGGTATCCCAAAATGTCACTCAGATTAATCACTACTTGGAAATCATGGTATCTATTAGACCTTGCACTAGACGGTAGTATCCATTAATGATGTATACAATGTCACTTAAAATTAATATCTTGGATAACTAAAACAATTTCTTTACTGCTCTTATGTGCTTTTGCTATGGTCTAAATGATTTGTATTAAAATAGTGTACACGCCTTTAATTCCAGGACTCGGGAGGCAGAGACAAGAGGATCTTTGTGAGTTCCAGGCCTGCCTGGTCTACAAGCAAGTTCTAGGACAGCCAGGGCTATTAAAAAGAGAAACCTTGGCGAGGAGTTGGTGGCTCACGCCTTTAATCCCAGCACTCAGGAGGCAGAGGCAGGCGGATCTCTGTTGAGTTCGAGGTCAGCCTGGTCTACAAAGCGAGTTCCAGGACAGCCTCGAAGACAATACAGAGAAACCCTGTCTCGAAAAACCAAAAAAAAAAAAAAAAAAAAAAAAGGCAAACACTCAAAAACAAAAAACAGAGAAACCTTGCCTCAAAAAAGAGAAAAAGAAAAAAAGACCATACATCATACATGTGTGCATGTGAGATTTATCTTTATTGTTTCTTATTGCTTTCTTTGGGCTCCTGACTCTCAGATATATCACTATCTTCACTAAATTTCTTTTCAGCTATTACAACACATCCTTGCTTATTATCTTGTTATTACTATCATGATTAATTGGATCTTAGAGAGTAAGGATACAAAAAGACATGTGCTAGGGTCCAGATATAAGGGAGAGATGACCATAAACCAAATGCCTCCAAATGAAAACACAAGTGAGTCTGAAATCTAGATGGCAGAGGGAGATTATATATGGACATCCACAAAGAATATAAAACATAGATCAGGCTAGGATTGTGGTGGCACACCGATAATCTCAGCACTGAGTTTGAGGTCAAACCGGGCTAATGATACCATTTCCCTCCAAAATACAAAACAAACAAACCACCTCCAAAACAAAGCAGAACAGAATAACAAGAAAACTCTACAGGATCAAGCAACCAGACTCAAAAGCATTTACGGGGAAGTTTGAGAAAGGAAACAAGTTGTGTACTCTTCTCACTGGTATCAAAAACAAGTCTAAGGGTCAAAGAGATGACAGATATTATTTGAGTTCAATCCCTAGTATTTACATGGTGGAAGGAGGGAACTAACATCTGAAAGATATCTTCTGACTTGGAGCCTACACTACACTACACTATACTAGACTACACTACACTACACACACACCCCACATGCAGTGATACATATGAACAACCCTAGCACTTGGGAGGTTGAGAGGAGGCTCATCCTGTGCTACTAGTAATGACAGACCCTAACTCAAAACAAAAGTACAAAAAGCTAAAACAGCCAGGGGAGGTGAGATAAGAGGGAGTATAATCATACTAAAGAATTTATTTTATTTTATTTTTTGAGACAGGGTTTCTTTGTGAAGCTTTGGAGCCTATCCTGACACTCTCTCTGTAGACCAGGCTGGCCTCAAACTCACAGAGATCCACCTGCCTCTGACTCCCGAGTGCTGGGATTAAAGGCGTGCGCCACCAAGGCCCAGCTTCATACTAAAGAATTTATTAAGAAAAGAGTTTTCTAGCCATCTCTTTCACCAAACCCAATGCCTGGAGGAGAGTCATCTTTTCGCATTCATCAGTGACCCTATACATTTGAATGAGTCATAATAATCAGTTTAATTAATTACAAGTCCCCTCTAGCCTCCACTGCATTCCTGCTTCATGAGCAAGCAAGTTTTTCCACATCATCTTTAGAACTTCTTCCTCCTTAGAATCTTGCTCTCTAATTTTTCACTGTAAGACTGGCAAAAACATTATTTTACTGAGTTGGTGAGATGGCACTTGTCACCAGGTCTTTGATAACCTGTGACCGGAATGATGGAAGGAGAAAACTAGATTCCATAAGTTTTCCTTTCACCTCAACACATCACATACTATCCAAGCTCCAAATTAAAAAAATAAATAAAAGCAATAATTTTTCAAAGTAATGTTTAAAAATACCAAACTCTCACAAAGTTTTGCACTTTACTTCAACTCCCCAGCAAAAGGCTGTGCCCCTTTATACACAAAGTCACCTAATCTGTTCACTAGAGGTCATTACTCATGGTGACAGAATTATTTTATTATTTGTTCTCTCTCCAAGTATGAACTTTCCAATTAAGGCAAAAGTCAACATAACTGAGGCTAGCTAACTGAGGAAGGTGGTATTACTTCTCATGTTTAGACCAAGTTTTCACTGTACTACCATTACATCGGTATTTCATTTCATTCTTTTAACACCTCCAGAGAAGCTAAGAAACAAGGAGACACATATGGTTCCCTGGAGAAGTGAAAAGGGCCAAGAGTTCCAGAACAAATTCGGAGCATGGGGGGGGGGAACAGGAGGGAGGGAAGAGAACGAGAGAGATCAGAAGATTGAATCAGGGGATGAATAGAGGAGAGCAAAAAAGAGATACCTTAACAGAGGGAGCCATATAGGTTTAAAGAGAAATCTGGTACTAAGGAAATGTTCAGAGATCCACAAGAATGACCCCAACTAAGAATCTAAGCAATAGTCGAGGGGCTACCTTAAATGCCTTGCCCCTATAATGAGGTTGATGACTACTTAAATGTCATCCTAGAGCCTTCATCCAGTAGCTGATGGAAGCAGAGAAAAACAACAATGAAGGATTATGTGGACAACTTAGCAGTATGCTGATGCTACAGTAATGTTTCCAATCTTGGTATTTACCAAGTTAGGGAAATTCTACCTCAGACACCTTTATAGGATATACCAGAAAGGCGCCCGGTGGTGGTAGTGCACACCTTTAATCCCAGAACTCGGGAGGCAGAGGCAGGCGGATCTCTGTGAGTTCAAAACCAGCATGGTCTACAAGAGCTAGTTCCAGGACAGCCTCCAAAGCCACAGAGAAACCCTGTCTCGAAAAACAAAACAAACAAAAAAAGTCCATTCTTTTTTTTTCTATTTTTAGGGATTTATTTACTTTTAAAGATATATTTATTCATTTATTTATATTTTGCCTGTGAGTATGCCCACAGGTCAGAAGATGGCACCAGATTTCATTACTGATAGTTGTGAGATACCATGTGGTTGCTGAGAATTGAATTTAGGGCCTTTGGGAGAGCAGCCAGTGCTCTT